GTATCTATAATTTTTTTTATGGATACACCATTTTCAATAATCTTTTTATTGTAATAATTTTTATTTATATTCTATACGTTTAATGAAACATACCTTGAAGTTGCCTCCTGTTTATATTGTTCCGCACAGCATTGGGAATATTCGTAGATTGATGGTTAACATGATGAACAGACGAATTGTGATTTTCGTTGATTGTACCACTACTATGAAATAAATCTTTTAGTTTCGCTATCTCGTTTGCCTGATCCTTTATTGTTTTTTGTTGACTCAAGAGCTCATGTTCATAAAACCTTTAATAAACAAAATCTCTTATCAGTTAATTCAAAAAACTGTTGATACTTCTAAAAATTTTTAGCTGTGAGTCTATGTACGCATGTTAGATCCACAAATGTAGATCCTAGTGATTACCGGTGCTTAATTGATAATTGTTTTAACTACTTGAATATCATAACATTTGTATTTTGCCCAGGTATACGTACGATACAGGAAATCATTATCGACTGAAAAGAATACCCGTATGAATTTTAGTATATATCTAAAAGATAATGAATCCTTCTAAAAATCATAAGATATTGATCGATTTCTTAATCATTAAAGTTATGATAAATTATTCTGAAGATATGATATATTTCTTAATTTACCCGTTTATAAATTAAGGAATTATTAAGAAACTTAGGCTCTAAATTTCTCAAGCAATGTTTGCATAAATGGATTTTGCTGTTATAAAATATTGGATAACTACCTTTGTCTTTTCTGAATATCTGTGATCAGTTGTTTTAATTCAGAAATCACACCATTATCGTTGATATCATCAGCTTCTATTGTTACAATAGAAAATAAATAACATATGGTAATTGCGAAAACAACCCTTGTAACTGGAGAATTGACCGACATTTTTATGTATGTCTTATCTTAATGTTAGAAGTCTTCAACAGAGTTCAATACATAATAACATCTACGATGATCTGACAGATTGTAATCAATGATCGAACCCTTACCCTATAAATTAAAAAAAAAAATTGGACACCAAGTTTCCAACTCCTTCAGGAAAAGTCGACCTTAAATTAATTTGGCTATTCCTTTTTGGTTCCTTTTGATCACCAACCTCCTAACGTTCCTACGATATTAAACATTTCTGGAGTTCATATGTTAATGTTTAAGCGTTCCTGGTGAAGGTAATTCCAGAAAAGCGTTTGGGTATATACTGCTAAAGTGGCGTGAATCTTTAAACATCGATATAAATGTCGAATGAAATGAAATTTCTAATTAAACATCAATAAAGGTGAATTATAAAAAAATATTGTGACAAGCTTTATTCATAGAGATTTAAAAAAATTGGTTAAAACTTCTTAACAGAACCGACATTCTAATTATCCCTCATTTGAAGATACTCTAATTATTTTTGTTGTCGTTTTAAGCATAGTTCACAAAAGGATTGTTAAAAATGAAAATACGCTACTGACACAAAATTTTGTTTCATTCGCTTATACTTTGTTTTTAACAAATTACATTTACTTGGGACGGATGGAAATATCATTAAATTGTACAGGGGATGACTAGAGTGAAGGTCGAAATTGTTCTTGTAAACATTTACAATCAATTGTTTTTACTCTTTCGTCTTAACATTTTATTTTCTTATTGAACTTGGTTTTAAGTCAGAATTTGTTAAATTTACTCCTTTAGAATATAAAATAGTCTTTTAGTATAAGACTAAAAGTATTAAAATCATAAAAAAAATTTGAATTATGGAGAGTAGACTATACTGGTAATAATGTGAACACAACAACATATCATTAATGATACAGTTAATTATATTATTAAAGTTAGAGGTGAACTAATTGGTATGTAATTATAAAGTTAGAGGTGAACTAAATGGTATGTAATTATAAAGTTAGAGGTGAAGTAAATGGTATGTAATTATAAAGTTAGAGGTGAACTAAATGGTATGTAATTATAAAGTTAGGGGTGAAGTAAACGGTATGTAATTATAAAGTTAGAGGTAAACTAAATGGTATGTAATTATAAAGTTAAAGGTGAACTAAATGGTATGTAATTATAAAGTTAGAGGTAAACTAAATGGTATGTAATTATAAAGTTAGAGGTGAACTAAATGGTATGTAATTATAAAGTTAGAGGTGAACTAAATGGTATGTAATTATAAAGTTAGAGGTGAACTAAACGGTATGTAATTATAAAGTTAGAGGTGAACCAAATGGTATGTAATTATAAAGATAGAGGTGAACTAAATGGTATGTAATTATAAAGATAGAGGTGATGAACTAAATGGTATGTAATTATAAAGTTAGAGGTGAACTAAATGGTATGTAATTATAAAGTTAGAGGTGATCTAAATGGTATGTAATTATAAAGTTAGAGGTGAACTAAATAGTATGTAATTATAAAGTTAAAGGTGAAGTGAATGGTAAATTGGGGGCAACAATAGTTTACCAATGTTCAAATCACACAAAGGTATTAAGCAGATACGATTCAATGTAAAAGAACCCAAATAAACATTGCAACAATCACAAAAAAGAGCAATACCAGGAGTGTAGATAGGGTTAGCGTCTCTTGTGATGCATGCATCACCCGCCATGCGTATCCACACTCAGTCAAACTATCACATTTTGGAATGGAATACAATTGATAAATTTATAGATCAGACTTCTATTATTGTATCTTAACTTCAAAGACGGCAAGCGATAGTAGATATCAGTCAACCAACTCAGGATGTTGACCGTAAAACGAAAGTGATATCGAGTTAGTCGTTCTGCCTGATATCTTCAGAAGATTATTTCTTTTTAAACCTATTCTAGATATATGAAATGTATGTGGGATAACCTGCAATTGAATGACATTACACCTATCATATCACTAAAACATAATTGATGAGTTAATCGAGGTCCTGATCTCTGAGATACATTTAACTATATTTTTGCATCAAACAAATACTAATATTCAATACAATTAAAATATATGTGCATGTGATACTCTATCTCTATCTCTATCAGTACTTTAATGGTTGATAATATCTCAAATAGTCATGGATTTTATGTCATTTCCATACAATAGTTCAACAATACAAGGGTGACATCCGATCTGGACATTAAATGTTGTTAGAGGCTTTCGACTCTATGATTAAAACAACTATTTAGAACATTCTCCGTTCAATCAATGTTGTCTTACATGCTGATTCGTAACACCTGTATATGTAGTTAAAAATTATGTGGTAAATTTTAAGTTTAAGTTAGATGTCAAGATATTCCATTTGCTTAATATTAACACAATAAATCAGACACGAGTAAAACATACTTATGAAGTATCCACCATAATACAGTATGAACAAATATATAACTATATGAGTATTTATGTAAAGTGAACAATTCATGGGATATGATACAAACTATGAATACGTAGAAAAAAAGAAGAAGATAAGAAATAAGCATATATTGAGAAAAAATATTTTTGAGATGATGAAGTAGGATTTGATGATGATTACGAAGATGATCTTCCATATCAGTAGCAACAACACTTTATGAAGATACAATAAATCTTCTTGACTCATGACATAGGCAAAATCTCTTTGTTATTACTGTGTTTTAGTTTGATAATGCACAATATTTCAGATATACTACACACTCTATGGTTAGAAAGGAAAAATTAAAAAAAAAGGTAGATCAATAGACTTCATTCCGATGCGACATGTCTTTAAATCGGTCATCAAAAATAGGGTTAAAAAATAAGGGTGATTCAATAAAGAAAAATAGTACAATATTTTATAAAAATGTGTCCAATAAAATTGGTACACCTCTTTTCAACTATCTTCCTCTACATTCCTGAAAAAAATTGCTCTATCTAAACTCAATCAACCTTTTACGTTATGATTTTTGATAAACTAATTTTGAAGTATATAAAACGGCTAAAGCTGTATAAATAAAAAGCGGTGTGTGTATATAGGCCTTTGAGACAGCAAACCAACAATAATGAAAATGTCGACATGCCATTACGACCATGTTAACTTTGTAAATGATCTTTTCTTGCTGGTCATGATTGATGATTACAGTTTTGATCTAGCCATAATAGCTTTCAAAATTTAACTCCACCACCCCTCCCCCGCAAAATATTGGTAACAAAATGCATTTAAGTACAAGAACTCATAAAAGCAGTCGATCGATGATTTCGGTCATTTGACTTAAAAGTAAAGTTAACTTCGACTTCGGCTTTAGATGACTCATTTGCACAATTTATTTTGCTGATCAATTTTGCTGTTTACAATTTTTCTTTCTCTACGCTAGTTGTCACCATATACGCACAAATGGGTTAAAATCAACCTTTTATGCCAGTAACTCCTGACCATTATGGTAATGTTATCATATTTGTAAATCTTTTATTGCTGATAATTTTGCATATAAAGTTTCTCTTTATATGTTATAGTGGTCTCAAGGAAAATAACAATACATGAAACACGGGTAACTATTGTCATTAAATAGCAATGTGTTTAATGAGTCGCCTAACCATTTCGGCCATGTTGAATTATCTGTAGATCTTTTCTTGTAGACATCTTTTATTATTCAAAGTTTCTCTCTATCTACTATAATTTCAAGTTTATATAAAAAAAACACATGAAATGGTAAAAATGGTCAACGAATAAAAAAGGATCATCAAATCAAAACATGTATGGTTGATCTGTACGTATAACATCTTCTGGTTATAAGTGGTTTTGAGTAAATACAAACCAAGAAGTTGCATTTAACTTTTACTCTTATAATCCACCAACATAATTATTTTGCATGCCAAACATTCAAATGTTACAATCTGTTAATGTGTTCAAAATCACCAACTACTAACACAAAAAGGAGTAAAACCACATGTTAATAAAGCTTAGAATCTCAAATTATTATAGGTTTAAATAAGCCTTATTTTATACTAAACACCAACGCTATAAGAGTACCTTTATAACCTTTCCCCTGTCTTTTAATTGGAAACGCCACTCCTATCGGTCTTTGTCTATTGCTGGCAAAATATAACTGGTAAAACCCATATTCATGGAAATCAGATAGACCAGATGTATATATAAACGGCAACATTATAATCACAAGGACCCTTCATCTGTAAACCTCAAAGTAAGTTTTTCAATAATTTTAAATGCCATTATAGTAGTCAGCACTTCTGTGTTGACATGAACTATCATTAATATGGTAATAATTATAAATTAACTGTTTGCAAACACTCGAATTGAATTGTTCAAAATACTAAGGGTTTTCTGACCCAGGAATAAATTTTTTAGCTGTATTTGGCACAACCTTTCGGAATTTTGTGTCCTCAATGCTTTTCAACTTCGTACTTTATTTGACCTTTTAACTTTTTCGAGATCCCTGATGAGTCTTTTGTAGACGAAACGCGCGTCTGGCGTAAAAATTGTTAAGCATGGTACCTATGATGAGTTCTAAGTTAATTATTTATGGTTCATGTATTTTACCATTTTATATTTTTCTAGTGTTCATCTGGGGTTTTGTGTTATAATCTGTTATATTTTATGACCTTCTACAAATTCTATTATTGGACTTTTTTCCTCGTTGGTATTAACAGCTAAGTAATTAACACGATAGTGGTGAAATATTATATCATAGATCCGACCATTTTCGACATTTACATCACGTACAATGTGAAAATCGTTTCGAAAAACTGATGCTTTCTATACACAGGAACTGGTGGCATAAGTCAAGTTTATCGCAATTATTTTAGATGTTTTGGGTTTCAATGCTTTTGATGTCGTTATTAAATTTGCTTGCCAACTTTTATTATTTTTTGGGAGCTATTGATGAGTATTGAAAAGACAAAACGCGCGTATAGCGTATAAATGATAAGTCATGTATCTTTGAATACGATGTTTTTCATTATCGTATGTAATTTAGTTTTTTTATGTCCGGTTTTTCTTCTTTTTTTCTTTTTTTTTTACATAAATTTGTAATCAGGATGTCTAATCCAAATCCGTATTTCAAACTACGCATTTTTGTTCTTTGAACAACATGCATTTCAATGTTTGATATTTTGTAACAGATCATCTGCTGTAAAGTTTATTTCTAAAATCCTGAACGAGAAACTTTTAAATTCTCAATTATCTACTATCTATTATTTAAGAAAACACATCATAGTTATCTCTACAATAATGATTTTAAGTCTTAGTTACGAACACATCTATATTTGGTTGATATAGTCAAGCGTTTGATTTTGTCTGTTTTGAAGGACTTCCCAAATTTTAAATATAAATTGGAGTTTGATATTTTCATAAATACTTATTTACCTGGTTAATACCTTTTGAATGTAAAATATTTCCTATTTTCAATTTATGTAGTAATAATATAAAATATCAAAATGCTTAAAAAGTTAAATGTCATCTGTCATTTAAACGACATGGAATGCACTTTTTCTGAAATACTTCAATTATTCGTATAAACAAGTAGGCGTATTGGAAAATGTCTTAACAGGTATCCAGGGGATATAATACCCTTTTATTTGTATTTCTTAGAAATGATGTATAAAAAACGTGCTTAGTAATGTGGACACTAAGTGTTATGAAGTTTTTTCACGCATAGCTATTAAACTGACTGACACATTGAATAATCCTTTGTCCAACCAAATCACTTTATAATATTTAAACAGACCTAAACTCAACCAATGGCATTGTATAGACTTGTTCATGTGAACTGTAGTGCATGAGCAATTCTCCTTACAAACGCGGCTAGTAAACAAGTTTTGCAAAACAAATTATAAATTAACGAAGTAATGGATCGTGAATTCATTTTGATTAAACTGTAAGATGTCTAGTCATAATAATTACCTTGCATACAAGTAACTTGCATAAACACGCATGTAACTATTTCACTTGATCCTGTATCTGAACAGTTTATCCCTACTGGAAATTTCGTATCTAGTGTCTTCTCATCTGCCGTATATGCATAACTTTTTTAATATCATATATTTCATATGGAGTGTAAGACGAATACATTTTTTTAACTGAATTAATGTTGTTTTATTGAAAATAATTAAAGTGCTTTGGACTACTTGACGCACTTAAAACTTTGGATAATTAAGCATGATGATAGAATTAGTGTACTCATTGTCAGGTTAAAATTGTGATATCAATAAATAAGATCTTTTGACACACCCGCTGAATTTATCAATGCTCTGGATAACCTAAATATAACATGTTTTGCGCAACTACTTCCATTGAGATATAATTGATTGATAAGAAATCCCGACTTTCTAAGTTAAAAAAAATCTGTTTTTAAAGACTATTTTAAGGCGACAGTAGTTTACCGATGTTCAAATCTGGTAAATCGGTTCTAAAAGAGACAAATCACGGTGGTAACTAATAAAAAATGGGGAATTGCATGAACTCAAAAGATGAGACCGGGTGCGTCGACAGGGTAATTAGCCTCTTCTGCTATATATGCATCGCCCGTCATACGAATCCTCATTCAGTCAAAATGTCACAATCGGGAATCGGGCACTATTTTAGGTTAACGGTCCCATCTTAGCCTATAATGTAGTTTCTAGCTTAAATACCAAACCGACAAATTTCTGTAAGTCAAACCAACGCTGAAAGTTGTTTCCTATCTCAATTTTTACCAAATTAAATATTCTATGCCTAATACTTCATTTGTAATGAAAAATACCCACCGTGTCTCATTAACAGGATGTTTACGTGGTTTACAAAAGACACCGTACCTTCTTCTGGGAATGAAATGTGATCCATCATGAACGTAATATAAGGCGATTTCACATTTCATCCAGTTATTCAATCTTAATGCACAATGGCAAACCTTCCTAAACGTATAAAGTTACAGGACAAAATGATATTTTAAAGTTTAACATAACAGAATCTGTACTACAAATACATTCTGGAGGTGGTCGTGATAATCTCGGGTATCCATGTTTGATTAGGATCTGTCTTATCTTTTATATCGAAAACAAGTTTTTTTGCTTTTTATATAGTTATTCACCATTACTATTGACTTCAGTTACGGATTTTAATTTCATTGTTTTGTTGTCATTATATTGAACAAAAATTTGATAAACATTTACGGTTTTCAATTTCTGATAAAGATACATATTAAGATTTGTATATTATAGAAAAACTTAAATTTGTTAGGATTAAATTCAGACCAAAATCTTATGTCCAAAGACTAATTGCTTAAACAATACATTATAATCTTTTTTGATTTTCTCATTTACTCATTAATACTTTTCCAATTTTTTTTTAAATCGACAATAAATCAAAAAGTGGTTTTAATCTTTTTCTTCGTTACATGCATTTCATAGACCGTCGTTCGTCTGTTCCCATTTACATAAGAATTGTTTTGATGGCAATATAAATTATAAAAAGTAAAATAACAAAAATACTGAACTCCAAGGGAAATTCAAAACGGAAAGTCTCTTATCAAATGGCAAAATCAAAAGCTCAAACACATCAAACGAATGAAAAACAACTATCATATTCCTGACTTGGTACACGCATTTCCTTATGTAGTACCTGGTTTTTTTTTTAGCTAGCTAAACCGCTCACTTGTATGACACTCGCATACAATTCCACTATATTGACGACAATGTGTGAACAAAACAAACAGACATAATAGGTAAAAATGTCAAAATAGGGGTACAGCAATCAACATTGTGTTATAATCTTAATCACTATAAAAACAAACAATATCTCAACAAAAAAAAGGGCATATAGACAAATCACATAAGAAAAAATGAAACACAAGAATACAAAAAATGACCATAGCACAATAACACAATGGCAGCATGTATAAGTACCGAGCCACGCCAAAGGGATATTACCAAACATGGACTAACCAGTAAAGGTAATAATATACAAAGACAAATAAAAGAACAATATAACACGTAATTAAGATGATAAACAACGTCAGTACCAAGAATCTATACTTCAAGACCATCATGTATTATTTGTGAAGTGTATCATCTCTTCATGATAAGTATGTCTTCATGTGAAGTGTATCATCTCTTCATGATACGTATGTTGTTGTTCCTGCGGACAAAGCTTCAAATAATATTGTCTTTGTATGTAAATCGTATTACTACGAGTGTCTTGTAAAGGAATTGGGAATAAATGAGCACTCAGGTAATCTCACATACAAAAACATATCATTTGACAAGGATGAGACTTTGGCGAATCATAAGTCCTTCATGGCTTCAATGAACATTGCATTAAACAACAAATCGGAGGACTTACCTTGTTTGTATTGGATACCTTAATTTCACAAAATTCCGTACAAACAACGGTACATTGCCGGCTCATCTGCATGTTCCACTAATTAATTGTCCATTAGATTGACTACAATTCTGTCCGCAGTGAAAGAGGGTCTTCAGAAATACTGTGAAACTGTTTACTCGCGTAGTGGCATTAACCATATGTGGATTCTTAAAAACTCTAAAGAACTTCTGGATAATTTTAAATCTCGGTCTTTTTCTGAAATTAGTTCTATCAAAACTTTTGATTTTTCAACCTTGTATACCACCATTCCCCATGTGAAACTGAAAAACCGTCTAAAAGAAATAATCCACAATGCTTTTCAACAAAAAAATGGTAGCATACGCTATAAATTTATAACTTCGGGATACCATAAGGCATATTTTGTTAATAGTGAACAAAAGGGTAAAACATGCTACACAGAGGTACAAGTGATCAGTATGCTGGAGTTTCTTATTGACAACATATTTGTTGAATTTGGAGGTAGACTTTTTCAACAAATTGTCGGCATTCCTATGGGAACGAACTGTGCGCCTCTCCTTACCGACCTCTTCTTATTTTCATATGAATCGGAGTTCCCTCGGACACTTGTCAAAAACAAGAAGATCAAAGAAGACAGGTTATTTAATTTCACTTTCAGATATATTGATGATGTTCTTTCCATTAACAATCCGAACTTTTCTGATTGGGTTCCATTAATATATCCACCAGAACTAGAAATTAAAGAAACAACAGACACGGCTTCCTCCGCTCATTTTTAGACTAATACCTCGAATTTGACATACACAGTCATCTCAGTACCAGAATCTATGACAAACGAGACGATTTTAATTTTGAAATTATCAATTT